TGTGTGTGTGTGTGTGTGTGTGTATATACACACACAGCAAAAACATATTAAAAATCATAATTTTCTTAATTTAACAATTTTGAATTATTAAAGATTATTATTAAAGATTATTATACACACACTTTGCACGTAAATGTCTCACGTATGTTATAGATGATTTGCAAAAGATATTGAAGCAGATAGAGGAAGCTGATACTCCGGAAGATAGAAAAATGCCGATCACGAAGCTTGATGAAATTGTAAGGTTGGCGACGATAGCCGCGGACGAATGCGACTTCGGTACTTGCTTGGAACTGGGACACGATCTCTTCTCGAACGGCGGCATTCACGTACAAACTAGAGCTCTGCAAATGCTATCTATCGCTTACACTCATTTAAAAAGACCACAGCTATTGAAAATACTTGAAGCACATTTGAAGAATAGGAAGAAGGATTGTGAATTAAGTGTAATTTAAAAAAAAATACTTAAAGACGGTTATACACACACACATGTTGACTATGATCTTTCTAGAAACTGATGTCATGTTACAAACAAAATAAACAATAAGATAACTAAATATAAGATAACACTCGCGTGTATTTAAGCAAATGAAGAAAAATCAAAATTATAAGCAAAAAATGAAGTTAGAAAAGAACTAATACATTGAAGATTACGATTCCAATTGCTTCCATTCCAATGGAATGTGTAGGAGTGGCAAATCCACAACTTTTAATTACTTTAATTATAAATTTGAATAAATATGTATTAATTTTTTTCTAACTTTATTTTTTGCTCGTTTATGATCATGATTTTTTTTATTTGCTGCAAATTACTCCATTTTATATGTATAAGGTATATGTTATGTGTGTGTGCAAATGTAATTATTTTGAAAATTCATATATCCTAAAAAAATTTCAATGTCTTAAATTAAAATAAAATTTTTTAGGATAATATTTACAAAGCAATGATAATTATGAAATAATCAAAATGCAAATGTAATATTTTTCACTGACAAAATAAATAAAAAAATTACAAATACGAACAAAGATAGAAAATAAAATAATATTTAATCTAAGAAAAAATTAATATTATAATTTTATTAAAAAATATGCATATTTTTATATATTCAGAAGTCTGTTCGCATTGCTTGAAATCCTCAACAATTTTTACACTTAAAATAAATTGAGATAAATATTTATTTTGACGTTGAGAAGAGAAAGCGAAGATGCTAAGTGCACAAAGCACAGAACGCAAACAGATCTTCTGTCGGTAGCATTCGATAGTGAGGTTGGCGGCACTGCATGTCAGAGTGACATCCACACTCCATACTACTCCACAGTGCTTCACAGTGCAGTTCGAGTCAATTCGAGTTTCGAGTGTTCGACGTTCGTCGTGCCACGAACGCGCAGTGGTGTACAGTGGCGTGACACTGTGCGCGACAGTGCGTACGTGGGTGCGCGTCCCGCCCGTGGTATCAGCAAAAATATGCAAAAGTATGAGAAGCTCGAAAAAATAGGAGAAGGTGAGCGCCGTTTGCGGTTGAAGTTGCGGAGGATAAACGTCGTCCGGCGACGCAGTATCGTCGTCGTTACCGACGTCGCCCGCGTCGTCTGGCGACGCGCCGCGACTCGTCGTTTCCCGGTGTGTGCGTCGTGTCCCCTCCTCATCTGTGTTACACTCTTTCTGTCGACACACAACAGCAAGACCGTATGCCATTAAATTTTCGACTCGCTTTTTTTTTTAATTTCCAGGCACTTATGGCACCGTGTTCAAAGCCAAGAATCGCGAGACGCACGAAATCGTCGCGCTGAAGCGGGTGCGACTGGACGATGATGATGAAGTAGGTAGTGCTCATCCGATCTATCTTTTTCCCTTTCTTTTTTTTTTCTTCTCTTTCGCACGAATCCCCCTCATCGCAATCCCCACCTGCTGTTTTGCCGCGACACCGACGTTCCGATTAATCTAATTAATCGATCGCTCGCGTACTTTATTTATAACGCGTCGCTCGCCTCGTGTTGCGTTGAAAATAAATCTTCACGACGAAGGCCGGCCTATCTCCTTGATAACAGCGTCTTATCGCTTGTGTGCTCTTTATATCCAAGGGTGTACCATCATCAGCTCTACGGGAGATCTGTCTTCTGAAGGAACTCAAGCATAAAAATATAGTTCGTCTCTATGATGTGCTGCACAGCGACAAGAAGCTCACCTTGGTATTTGAACACTGTGATCAGGATCTCAAGAAGTATTTTGATAGTCTAAATGGAGAAATTGACTTGGACGTCGTTAAATCATTCCTGTAAGATGTTTCTTGAATTTCATCCCATTATGGGACTCTGTAGAAAAATACTATTGGATCAGTAAAAAAATTATTGGAACAGTTTACAATATTTGATTCGAATAATTTTCCAATTATTTTTAATAGTTTTTTCACGAATCTAATAGTATTTTTAGCATAAAAGATTGACCAATTCACGTCATTCCTTTCAGATATCAATTGTTAAGAGGATTAGCATTCTGCCATAGCCGTAATGTTCTGCACAGAGATCTCAAACCACAAAACTTACTCATCAACAAGGTAGAAAGGCAGTTACCAAATTTTTATATTTAAGTTTAATTTCTACAAAAATTCTTTTATAATATATTTAGATAAATTTTTTTCCTATTTTTTTGCAGAGAAAATTTCTTATCACTATTTTATGTTTGTCTATTAAATCAGAGAATTATTTACAGAACGGGGAGTTGAAGCTCGCTGATTTTGGATTAGCAAGAGCATTTGGTATCCCTGTAAAATGTTACTCGGCAGAAGTTGTTACATTATGGTACCGTCCCCCAGATGTTCTTTTCGGAGCGAAATTATATACAACGTCCATTGATATGTGGAGCGCGGGATGCATATTCGCTGGTAATTACCTCAATCTTTTTTCTTTAAGAATTAAAAAGTAAACTACTGGCAAAACTTTTTGTAATCAATATTATGCACAAATATTTACGAATCTGTAAATTAAAAATTTTTTTAAATAATCTTTTAATTTTTTTTTTTGGTGTATTATTTTAGTATATAAAGAATAAAATATCGATATTTTGTTTTCATGGTACAGAATTAGCGAACGCCGGCAGACCGCTTTTTCCTGGATCGGATGTAGATGATCAGTTGAAAAGAATATTCAAAATGTTAGGCACACCGACTGAAGAAACGTGGCCAGATTTAACGACACTTCCTGATTACAAACCATTCCCGCAGTACCATCCCACGCAAGGATTGGCACAGGTTACACCTAAACTCACTTCAAGAGGCAAAGACTTACTTCAGGTAAATCATTGTTTACTTAAATCATTGAAATAATTGCAAAACATAAACTCAGAGAGATCCAAGTAATATTTTTCGCAATAAGTTATTTACAGGTTTTAAAGATGCTAGCATTATTATTAAATAAACAATTCAGTAATTGTGAGATTTCAGTTTATGATTTTGTTTAGAATTCGACAAACCGAATCGACGCACAGTATAGAATTGAATTTGTATATTCACACATAAATATTACTAATTGTAAGCATTAAGATCTGCTTTGATCGAAAATGACTTTCTTCTCTTTTATTAGTATTTAAACACTTCTCGATTTTATTTAATATTGTTTATTAATAGTTATTTAGCATATCTAATATAGAATATATTAATATATATTTAACACATAAGTATAATTAAATTATATCGATAATAATAAATCTAATATAATAATCTAACGATTTATAACAAAGAAAAACGTAAAATAAAAAAAATATAATAGTAGAATATATGTAGAGTGAAAATGTAGAGAAATTAGAGTGATTTAGAATAGAGCATCAACATATAAAAATAATAAATAATAAACAAAATTTTCGCATAATATATACACAAAGGAACATCTCAAATACTACGATTCAATGCTAACAATATAAATAAAAATTTGAAAAATAGAAAATCGTTTCCCTAAACCTCTTTTTTTAAAATAAAATGTCGAAAAATTACATTTATATCTTCTAAAATTAAGCGATAACAAGTTTTTTTTTAAAGTTCTGGATGATTTTCAATTATATGTTTTCTGATTAATAGAGATTATTAGTGTGTAATCCGGCTCTACGGCTGTCGGCGGAGGAAGCGATGGCACATCCGTACTTCAACGACTTGAACCCTGTCATAAAAAACGACCGATGCCAATAGCGAGTCATCCCTCTTAGCTCAAACCAATCACAAGCAAATTACGACACGCAGCGACCAAAA